CTGGCAAGGTACAAATCCATTTATTAAGTGGCAAACTCAGGAGGTATGACCTCTGCCACCAGGACAATTAACAGGACAATGGGTAGAAGTTGCTACACCTGTAGTTTATAGTGGTGTGCAGTAAATGCCACCATAGACCAAGTGTTGTAAAATTTTAAAAAGAAAAAAAAAAATATAAAAAAAAATTGTCTCCTGCTTCCTCAGGAAGTGCAACACTAAGTCTGTGCAGCATTCGGCCTGTAACAATTCCCCCAGGGGATGTACCACAGAAATTATCTACAAGAGTGTGTGGGCCTCTACCAGAAAATACGGTAGCACTTGTTGTAGGTTGGGCTGGTGTCGAATTGCAGGGAGTGCAAATTCTTGCAGGAATTGCTCATCCAGATCTAAAAGGAGAAATTCAATTGATAGTGACCGCCAGTGCGCCCTGGAAAGCAGAACCAGGGATAGAATTGCTCAATTATTGCCTCTACCTTATGTAAAAGTAGGAACCGCTAATGCAGTAAGAAAGAAGCAAATTGGTAATTTTCAAGAAAAAGCAGTGTACTGGGCAAGCAAAGTTACAGATAATTGGCCAGTTTGTAATATTACAATTCAAGAAAAAACTTTTAAAGGTCTGGTAGATACTGGAGTGGATGTTTCCGTAATAAGCTCTAGTCAATGGTCCAAGCACTGGCCAAAACAAAAGGCTAATATGAAATTAGTTGGGGTTGGAATAGCCAGCTACGAGGTATCAATGGAAGGTTTTGTCTCAAGGAATGTTAAATAGTCCTATAGTGTGTCAGACTTTTGTGGGAAATGCTATTCAGCCTATTCTCAGTTTCCTCAATGCTGTATCATTCACTATGTTGATGATATATTATGTGCTGCAGAAACTAGAAAAAAGTTGGTTCTATGTTATAATTGCCTAAAAGAATGTGTGCAGAAAGCAGGGCTAATTTTAGCTCCTGATAAAATTCAAACCTCAACACCAGTAAAATGTTTGGGAATGCAAGTTGAAAAGAGGCAAATACGCCCTCAAAAGGCAGAAATTAGGACAGACTTAAAACACTAAATAATTTTCAAAAGTTGTTAGGAGATTTTATTGGCTAAGGCCAGATCTCGGTATTCCTACTTATGCAATGTCTAATCTATTTGCAATTTTAAAAGAAGATCCAAATTTAAATAGTGAGTGTTAACAAAAGAAGCAGCTGAGGAGTTAAAAATAAAGAAAAAATACAGCAAGCCCAGGTAGAAAGAATTAACAGTAACTCACAGTTACAGCTCATTGTGTTCTTAACACCTCATTCTCCAATAGAAGTCTTTGTTCAAGATAGAAGTTTAGTAGAATAGGTCTTCTTACCTCACAATACAAGTGAAACTTTAACTGTATACTTGAATCAAATAGCTAGTGTCATTAGTAAAGGCAGAACAAGGATTGTTCAATTGTCTGAATACGAACCTGACAAAATAATTGTTACTTTAACTAAAAAACAAGTTCAACAAGCTTACATCAATTCCGTCAATTGGCAATTCGGCTTGGCAGATTTCGTAGGCTAAATTAATAATCATTATCCTAAAGCAAAAGTTTTTCAGTTCCTAGAGCTTACATCATGGGTTTTACCTAAAATTACCCAAGGTCAGCCAATGAAGTGCGCTGTCACTGTTTTTACTGATGCATCTAAGCGTGGAAAGGTATCTTACACAGGCCCTTTTCACAGAGTTATCCAAACAAATTTTCATTCAGCACAAAGAGTAGAGTTCCGGGCAGTTATCTAGGTCCTTACAGATATACAGCAACCAGTTAATCTAGTTTCAGACTCAGCTTATGTAGTACATTCTACAAAAAAATGTAGAAACTGCGTTGTTAAAATACATTCAGGATAATCAGTTAAGAAAGCTATTTGAATCACTTCAAAAAGCAGTTAACAGCAAAGAAGCTCCATTTTATATCACACACATTTAAGCACATACTTGTTTACCTGGACCTTTAGCTCAAGCAAACAGGCAAACTTGCTGGTTTCTACAGTTTTTACAGAAGCCAAAAAATTTCATGCATTAACACATACAAATGCGGTGGGTTTAAAAAGCAAATTTCCTTGAACTTGGAGACAGGTAAAACAAATTGTCCAACATTGCCCTCAATGTCAAGTTCTTCAACTGCCCACTCAGGAGGCAGGGGTAAATCCTGGAGGATTACACACAAATTGAATTTGGCAAATGGAAGTTACTCACGTTTCTTCAGTTGGAAAATTATCTTACGTTCATGTTACTGTGAATACTTTCTCTCATTTCATTTGGGCAGCTTGCCAAACAGGAGAAAGCACTGCACATGTTAAAAAATACCTATTTTCTTGCTTTGCAGTTATGAGAGTCCCACAAAAAATTAAAACTGATAATGGGCCAGAATACTGCAGTAAGCCACCAAAGCCAGTTCCTAGAACAATGGAACATAATTCATACAACAAAAATCCCCTATAGCTCCCAGGGACAAGCAATAGTAGAAAGGGCAAACAGAATCTTAAAAACTCAATTGGCAAAACAAAAAAATGGGGGAGACAATAAGGAGTATTTTACTCCCCATGTACAATTACAATTGGCACTAGTCACTTTACATTTTTTGAACATTTCCAAAGATCAAGTGTCCACGGCTACAGAACAATACTTTGTTGGACACGAAATTAATCCGAAGGAAGGAAAGAGAGTATGGTGGAAAGATTCCACCACCAATCAGTGGGACTTGGGAAAGGTTGTACCCTCGGGAAGAGGCTATGCTTATATATTACCAGGAGAAAACCAACCTCACATTTGGGTACCTATGAGACAGCTGAAGATTTTCAATGAACTCCTCCAAACCATGGAGCAAGAAGAGAAACAGACCAGGCCCAGGAGCGGTATGGTGCAAGATAGCCAAGCTGAGTGTCTCAGGGACAAAGGCAACACAGAAAGCCAACCCGCTGACATGGGGTCAAATGAAGAGGCTGGTGCATATGGCAACAGCAAGCCTAATGGAGACTTGCATGGAGGTGACACCGGGTAATCTTATTCTGGCAGCTGTCACGGTTATGGCTGGTCAGTAAGCAATAACCCTGTTTCGGCAGAAGAGAACTATACATATGGGGCTTATGTACCATTCCCACCTTTGATTAGACCTGTCACTTGGATGGATTGACCTATTGAAGTGTACATAAATGAAGGCCGGGCGCGGTGGCTCACGCCTGTAATCCTAGCACTTTGGGAGGCCGAGGTGGGTGGATCACCTGAGGTCAGGAGTTCAAGACCAGCCTGGCCATCATGAAGAAACCCCATCTTTAAAAAAAAAAAAAAGGTGTACATAAATGATAGCATTTGGATGCCTGGTCCTACTGATGACCGGTGTCCTGCTCAACCAGAGGAGGAAGGAATGTTAATGAATGTCCCTCATGGATATCGCTTTCCTCCATCTGTCTGTCTCGGGAAAACTCCAGGGTGTTTAACCCTAAAGCCTCGAAGCTAGTTAATATACATCCCAAGGGATAATAGAACTGGTCCTACTTGTTATATAGGCAGTGGAATGTCCTTTAGACCAAATATGCTGTGTAAGATATAACGCAATGGACATTACACAACTTTTGAGTACACTAATCAATATAAGCTGAAAGGAAAAAGCTGCCCCAAAACCAATCCAAAATGGTCTCTTCAATTAGAAATTCTTACTTGGAAAGATTGTGTAGCTGACAGGGCAGTCACACTTCCAAGATAATGCATATGGGGCAATCATTGATTGGGCTCCTAAAGGTGAATTAAAAAAAAAATTGTGTGAGACAGGCATCTTGTGTAGATGCACCAATATTGTTAGAAATAACTGAAAACTTAATAATCAGAAATAACCTTACTAAAAGAATGGAATCTCCTTTCCCCATTAAATGGGAAGATAAAGGAACAGCCTTGCCCAGACCAAAGCTTATGAAACCCATTTTAAGTCCAAAGCATCTGGAGCTGTGGAAATTGGCTATGGCAACAGCTCATATGAGAGTGTGGAAAGGAAGAGGATTGATTGGCACAAAAAACAATTGAGTTTCTTTTAATATTGATTTAATCTCAAACAGAACTATTCCATTTCTAAGTTGTGTTAAGCCACCCGATGTGTTGGTAGTAGAAAATGTAAGCATCAGCCCTGATATTCAAACCCTAACCTGTAAACATTGTAAATTGTTTACTTACATTAATTCAACATTTAAACTTGAAAATACTATTTTACTAGACAGAGCCAGAGAAGGAGTGTGGATTCCAGTAACTCTTAACTGACCATGGAAAGCCTCTCCTTCAGTACATATCACAAAGGTACTAAAAGGAGTCTGTCTTAAATCATTCAAAAAGATTCGTATTTATGCTGATTGCTGCTGTCATGGGAATTATAGCTGTGGCAGCTACTGCTGCATCTATAGGAGTGGCTCTGCACACCTCAGTTCAAACTGCCCACTAGATGGATGTTTGCCAGAAAAATTCTTTCACGCTTTGGAATTCTCAAACAAGAATTAATCAAAAATTGACAAATCAAATTAATCATCTTCCACAAACTGTAATTTGGATGGGAGATCGAATAATGAGCTTAGAACAGAGATTACAGTTGAATTATGATTGGGACACATCTGATTATTGTATTACCCCCCCATACTTATAATTCTAATGAACATCATTGGGAACAAGTAAGGAGACACTACTAGGGAACGAGAACAACGTTGGATATTGCCAAATTAAACGAACAGATTTCTCAGGCCTCACAGGCTCATTTAAATGTTTTACCTGCAGCTGATATATTGGAAGGAGCTGCAAATAAGCTTTCAAGCCTGAATCCTATCAAGTGGGTTAAAACTCTTGATGGATCCACAATTGCTAATTTTGTTTTAGTAGGTGTCTGTTTATTCTGCCTGTTTTTACTCCACAAATGCAGCAGAAATTTTCAGAGACAATCAAAGACACGAATAATCCATAATCACTTCCACCCTCTTCGCTAAAAAGAAGGGAGGAGATATGGGAAGAGATGGCCGAGCAGACCTGTGTTACTTAAAGTTAAATGATTACAAGCTTGCTTTGCTTTTTATACACTGAGATTTGTGCCACGGATCATATCCAAACTATGGTTCAGTAAAATAAAAGCAGAGGTCAAATGGTAACAGGAGACCATCTGAGAGCGCCCTACAACTGCGGAACACAGTGGTGTGGCTGCAAAGCAGAAAAAACTGCTTTGGTCTCACAACTCTTCCCAACATAGTTTGTGTGAGGATCTCGTAAAGGGAGCTTATGCAAAAGACTCTGGGAAGTAATGCAACCTCTGCTCACAAGACTTAGGTGGGTCTTTGCAGACGGGAGCTGGTAAGGCCGGAAAGCCTTATAGGGCAGAGATCACCGGAACACCACAGGCTCTGCCTATGGTCTCAGAATATGGAGCAATTCCAATTGCTCTGTGTCCACAATGCTTGGGAAAGAAAAGCCCATTAATGCATGGTGTGTGGTCAGACTTAGGGCACCTTATCCACTGCACCTTTCTTGCCAAAACACCTGGATAGACAATGGGTGTAAAGAAAGTAAAGAAATAGAAAAAAAAAAAATTCCAAAAAAAAAAAAAATTCCATGTAAATGGAAACCAAAAGCAAGCAGGAGTAGCTATATTTAGATCAGATAAACAGACTTTAAGTCTAAAAAAAAAAAAAGACAAAGAATGCCATTATATAATGATGAAGAGATCAATCCAGCAAGAGGATATAACAATTCTGAATGTGTATGCACCAAACACTGGAGCACCTAGATTCATAAAGCAATATTACCAGGGAGAGAGAGAGAGAGAAAGCGCGTGCACGCGCGCGCAATAGCATAATAAAAATCTACACTTGTACCCTCTAAATATATTTAGGAGGACTTCAGCACTCCACTCTCCTCATTATACAGAGCTTCTAGACAGAAAAAGCAAAGAAACATTGGATTTAAATTGGAGTTTAGACCAAATGGACCTAACAGATATTTACAGAACATTCTGTCAAACAACTGCAGAATATACATTCTTTTCATTAGTATACGAAACATTCTCCGGGATAAACCATATGTTAGGCCACAAGACAAGTCTCAACAAACTTTAAAACACTGAAATCATATCAAATATCTTTTCAATTCCAATGGAATAAAATGATACAAATACATGGATATTAAACAACACGCTCCTGACCATTGAGTCAACAAAGAAATTAAGTTGGAAATTAAAAATCTACACTTGTGTGCTCTAAATATATTTTAAAAACTTAACAATCAGTAAAAAGAATGAAATTGTGTCTTTTGCAGCAACATGGCTGAAACTTTAGTCATTATCTTAAGTGAAATAAGTCAGGCACAAAAGACATGTATCACATGTTCTCACTTTTATGTGAGTACAAAAATTTGATCATCTGGAGGTAGATGGTGGAAAGATAGATACCAGAGACTGAGAAGGGTCAGTATGGGGAGTGGGTGGTTGGGGGGATGATAAGGAGAAGTGGGTTAAAGGGTACAAACACACAGTAAGATAGAATAAATTCAATTTTTGATAACAGAGTAGGGTGACTATACTTAGCAAGAATGTATTGTACTCAGGCAGTAGATACATGGAAAACCCTGACTTCATCTGTGTGCACTATATACGTACAACAAAATTTCAGACATACCCCAAACATTTGCACACATAAAAGAAAGAAAAGATCAAAACACAGAAGCTCTCCAGAACTCACCGTAGACACGCAGGGTAAATTCTTCCTTAGTGGTGACTTCAGAATTCTTTTTGTTTATCTGGGCTTTGTAGAAGCCTGCGTCATTCAGAGTCAGATTGCTGATGTGCAGGGAGTAACTCCACTTGGTGATGTTTAGTCGGCCCTGGTAGCTTTTGTCCATAAGGATTACATCTTCGGGATTTGCTAAAGCAAGAGCATTTTTGGGACCATTCCAGGCGACGTGCTCAATGTCTGTGGCTACTGAGATATTTAGGAGGAGAGTCACAGAACCCCCTAGGATCCCTGACACCACTGTTCCGGCTGAGTCCTCTCCAGAGGCTCTTAGTCCTGCAGAGACAGAAGAGGGACTTGGAGGAGCAGCTAGACTCCTTGAGCTAGCCTTCCTTCTTTCACTGTGTGAATATACATTGGGCACAAATGTGAGATGCTGAGAAATGAAATGAGATTCTTGTCCTTCTTCTAGGTCCATTGCTAGCAAAGTCATTCATTACTCCATTCTCCAAACACTGACTCCCTTAAAAGTAGCTGCAACAGTCTGTGAAACAGATCTTCTGGTTTTTGTTCCAGTAGGGGTATTAGCCTTGTGACTTTGGGTGCCTTTCTGAATTTTTCTGAGAATCAGTTTACTTATCTAAAAGATTGAAATGCTCATACCTGCACGATTTTCTTCAAGGGATATGGTAAAAATTAAATGAAAGCAGGTTGCTGCAAATTGTGAATAGCCAATGAAGTGGAAAGGAGCATATTTTAAGAAATAAGGTAAATAGATGGTTGGTCAGAGGGATGGCTAGATGGGCAGATGAGTGATAAAGCAAGCAAAGTAAAACATTAGTGTTAGAACCTAGGTAGTAGGCATACGAATGTTCACTGTAAATGCTCCAACTTTTCTGAATGTTTGAGAATTCTCATAGCAGTGTTGGGAACTAAAGGAGCCTCTTCTACCTCTACCTTACCCTTTTTTCCCCCTCATTGTTCATGGGATCTTAGACTGACTTTGGCCAGGTTTGGGGGTGAGAATAGCTGGTAGTACCAATACAGTTCCTGATTTCCTCATCTTAGGCAAGATCTTATTCCTGATAAACATCGTTACCAAGGCATCTAGGAAGCTGGCATTTGTCCAAGGCAGCTAATTTTCTTGTAGGGACCCTGTGGGTATCTTCTGGGTGACCCCAGCTTGGATTTCCAGGGCTTCTGAGGCTCTGGAGAGCACTCTGAAAATTCTAGACCAAATCAGATGGGTTTGGGATCCAGACTCCACCAGGAATTCTGGATGGGAAAATAAGTAGAAATTGTTAGAGAGAAAAAAGGAGCATAAGCACAGCCTGGAGGAGTGGAAGAAGGCTGGAGCAAGCTCTGAAAACCCAGAGGTTACAGAACGTGCAGACACAAGGAGGAGGGAGGCTGATTGCGGCAGGTCATGGGGTTTCTTTGCTTAGACCTCCATCAGCCAAGCACTTGCACCTTGTGGAGAGGCAGCTACGGAGCATGCAGAGCTGGGGATCCTGGATGTGGGAAGGTTGGGTCGGGTGGATTCTTTGGGCAGATTCAGACTGAGTTGATGTGAAGCTAATTTGAAGTTTTCTAAAAGAGAGCGCTTCCCATCTAGAAGACACTGCTTATGATTGCTATGTGTGCATTAGGTACATTACGTAAATTATCTCATTTAATCCTAATAACTACGGAAATTTAGAGAATTTAAGCCACTTCCCTGAGATTACAGGGTTGATTAGTCACAGAGTCCAGATCCTATGTCCATGGTGCTGCTGGAGCAGGGAGGCCAGGAGTACTGCCCATCTCTATCCTGGAAGCCGAGGAGCTGCTGGGTCTTGGCTGAGTGCATATGACTCTTTTTGGCCTCAAATTTTCTTACATCAGACAAAAACCATAAACAAGGCCTCACAGACTGTCAGTGGAGGGGACAGGATGTGGGCCTCACAGGGCAAATCTTGCCGCAGAAAACAGTGCTACGTAGCTCCCAGTAAGTACAGTGACAGTTCCCCAGTACCAGCCATTTTATTTTGAATTGCACCATAGGACAATTCAAAACAGTGTTCAAAGACTGTAATAACTGAATTTGACTTACCCATCTCTTAATAGTTTCCAACTAATGCACATAACGGTAATTTTTTTTTTTTTGAGACGGAGTTTCACTCTTGTTACCCAGGCTGGAGTGCAATGGCGCAATCTCGGCTCACCGCAACCTCCGCCTCCTGGGTTCAGGCAATTCTCCTGCCTCAGCCTCCTGAGTAGCTGGGATTACAGGCACTCGCCACCATGCCCAGCTAATTTTTTGTATTTTTGGTAGAGACGGGGTTTCACCATGTTGACCAGGATGGTCTCGATCTCTTGACCTCGTGATCCACCCACCTTGGCCTCCCAAAGTGCTGGGATTACAGGCTTGAGCCGCCGCATCCGGCCTCCAGCGGTAATTATTATAATAGCAATCACATTTTCTGCCAACTATGTGCCAATCACTTTATATATATCATCTGCAATCTGTCAGAGTGTTGCGTGATGCATCCTAACTATAGTGTACACTTAAGAAATAGAGGCTCACACCACTAATAAGTGATGGAGCAATGATTTAATTTCAGATGTTCCTAACACTAAAGTGAGAGGGGTCTTTTCACTCAACTGCCTTTTAAGTTCCCGAAACAACTCTTTGTAGATACAAAAGCATCATCCTTTTAGAACAGAAGAATGAGATTTGAGTCGTCTTAATCAGTGGAGCCAGACTGAAGGAGATGACTCTTTGCTTTGAACTGTTTATAATTCACTGCATTGATCACTTGGGGCTTGGAGGACCTGGAGGGTTGCTTATTTCAGGTTTGCTCAACACAACCAAGGAACACCCCAAAGGTCAGATGTAGACATAAATAGCCCTGCTGCTTTCTGCATTTTTTTGATAAGCCAAGATAAAATTGAAAGTGAAGAGAGGTCAGTCTAGACCTCAGCTCTGAGGTCTAGGCATCTCATTCACCCATATCTGCATCTAGGAGTTTTTCTAGAGCTCCCCTCAGACACCAACAGCCAACCCCACTGCTCTCAGATCTCTAGTGCTACCTGTACCATCTTCCCTGAAACCCTGGGGAAAGTGGGACCACAGAAGGACCATAGCCGCCACAGTCTCAGGTGGCTGAGATCCCCTCTGAGCTACTGGATTGGCTCTGCCTGCTGGACAGTGGGGGTCTGGGCCGTTTACTGGAGAGATGTTTCCCAGGAGTTGGGCCTTGATAGGGAGGAAGAAGGTTGAGGAGAATAGGATATCCAGATAGACACCACCTTGCCCAGGGTCACCCAACCACCCGCAGGTCCTCAGTGAAGCCTCAGTAACAAAGCCAGCAAAGGTGATAACCAAGGCAGGATATGCAGAAAGACACT